ATGTTTTGTTAAGGCCAGACTAGATTTACCAAACCAAGAGGAGTATCACTGTAATTTAACTGAAACGAGACGCTGGATAACTGAAGTTGGCTCAGGGACCAGGACCATGTCTGACTAATGGAACTGTGGCTTTAGTAACCCCCCATTTATAAATGTCTTATTTCTAGTTATTTAAAAGGAAAATACACCCTTTGTTTGTTTATATATAAAGGATATTGGTTCAAAGGGGCTACTGTATCATATTTCTATATTAGGAAACCTTTATTTTTGATACTGCACCACAGTAAATGGTGCTAATGTTTTTGCATTCAATTGTTTCTAAGGCTTAAAGTGAATTATATGGAGTTCATGCATGCAGTACACTGATATCAATTTTAAAAATCAGAAAAATTAAACCTGTGACATTTTTTATGTGAAATCTGGTTTCATAGGCTTTTTTCTCTTTTTGGTGGGGACAGTGTGGTGGGACAATACATGTATAGTGTTCAGCATGGTATATTATGATAGCCCCGCCCCTCCTTCCATTCCCTATATAATATTACGGGTTTAAACACAAGGATTCTTAGGACGGATCTTGTTATGCTAACTCCAGTGGAGTGTCATCTTTTTCGAGGGATCGTTTAAACTCTCTCCACGAGAGAGGTATTTATTCAAAAGGAACTCGCACTATGTCGAACAATAGTGGCACATCTTCTTACCTACAGTAGAAAAAGACACAACCGGCACAGTTAATCACACGGAACTGATGAAGCACAAAGGGTGTCTGCCAAGGTGTCAAACAAAGTTACTCTAGCTTGTCATTCTGTTCTCCAGGGCTGTAGTGAAGTTGGTACAATTCTAATTTTGAACATTCTAGTGTTCTTTTCTCGGACTTCAAAAAGCGTTTAGATTCTTACTGCAGGTTCACTGGAAAGATAGCATGTATTGTAGGTTTTATCAAATCGGGGGCTGGAATTATGTACACTTGTACAATCACTAAGATATGTACCTGGGACCAGTAGTAGAGCCCTACATTCCACTAAGAATAAGTATTGTTTCAGAGACACAGATTCACAGTTATAGTTCTCTGGATCTCTTTGTGGGTATAAACTAGGGTTAATTGCTTGTCCCACACATATTTTATTTTATTTCAGATTCTAAATCAATAATTATGAAAATGTTTCGTTTGTCGACTCTTATCTGAAGGGTGAAAACTGATACCATATTAATGGTTTTTGTTATAGATATCTTTTGTTAGGTCAATATACTTATTATTAAAATGAAAATATTGCGTAATATTAGAAATTCTCTCAAGATTGTTATATGGTCGAAGATTCGATACGATAGAGTTTTTGCTTCAATATGAAAACAGTTAGTGTCAATATCAAGAAGCAATATAGTTCTGTACACTGCTATCTGACCTCTGAGTTTTCGAGTGTAGAAGACTAGAGCACCGGGCGAATGGCACAGAGAGACCAATCGATAAAATTCATAAGATAATTCATCGGAAAAGGGCTGAATCAGCCAGCAGTCTGATGCTCTCAGCGTTCATAGCCAAAAAGAACGAGGCAGAGAGAGTAGTATATGATTTTTGAGGAAGGAGTTGGAGTAAAGGAACTGAAGATGTGTTAGTAGAAGTAAGTTAGAGTAAAGTTAGTTTTGGATAATGCTAATGAAAAGAGATGTGTTATTAATACAGTATGATGAGTTAATTGATTCGACTCGCACGTCATGTATTGACGCTACGATATGCAGAGATGTATGGTACCCTGACTTGATGCGCCGACAGATTGTCTATCAGCCATAGTTTTGCTCATACACGAGAAACGCCACTGCAGTACTTGTTTCTTTTTTCCTGCGGTTATTTATGATCGTAGTTTTCTCACACGCACGCACGCACGCAGACTAGATCGGTCCTGCGCATCGTAGTGCATAAGTATCGTCTGCATCGCCCTAGGTATGTGTCTCTATATCGCAATGGCGATCGAGATGTACTGATGGAATTATACTTAGTCTAAAGCCCACCTACATGCTGCTTAAGTGATGATTCATGTCTTGTCATATATCGTATTATCACTGTGACACGCGACACTCTGTAGATCAAGACTTTATTCCGAATCTTATCATCTGTGTTTCTCTATGCTGTGCTGTCTGTATACTGTGTTATCGTCTCTGTGTAGAGCAAAGTATAAAGGGTACGATCCGTCTTCGCGTCCCTTTATCTGCTTTTCGCTCTCTTCTCGCTCTAAGTCTTACTCTTTTCTTTCTGGTCTTCTCTCTATGACCCTGCCCTCATAGTTCACGTTAACTTACTTCGGCGTCTCGTCATAGGCCTTCTAACCGCAATAGACGGAGCTCTCTAGATATCTCTTCTTTCTACCCGTCTAATACGCCATCATATCATCTTCTCTCTCTACTATTCGCTGCTATAATGAAGCCTCTCTTCTCTTCTCTACGCCATACCACACTTCTCTCTTCATATTCTGCCCTCCTCTCTACTCTACGTCTCAATTATCTCTTCATACTCTTCAGCTCTCTCTCATACTAACTCTTGACCTACGGACTACTTCTATCTACTTGCTCTCACGCATGTCGTCCCATATCAGTCCATTTCATTCATCACTATCCCTATCACCTCCCTCTCATCGAACGTCCATCCTCATCTCCCCTCCTCTCGCATCATCTCTCTTTAATTTCTCTCAACGGGTAGACCTACCCCTCTCGCTCATCTAATATACCTTTCATTTTCACCACCACATCCCCTCGTCTCCCATCATCCATATACATTCCTCTCTCTTCACATCTCTTATCTCATCCTCTTCATCTCTCTCTCTCTCTCTCTTTCTCTCTCTCTCTCGCTCTCGGTCTCTCTGCTCTCTCTCTCTCGGTGGCTCTCCTTCCACCTTCCGTCTCCTTTCCCTAGGAAAAAAAATCCCGTCCTCCTTCCTGCACCATCCATCCCTACTCCTTCCCTCGCCTCTCTCCTCCTCTGACCCTTCCTCTCTCCTCTCTCTACCACCCCTCCTCCTCTCTCTCTACCTCACTCATCTCGGTCTCTACCCTCCTCTCTCTCTCTACCGCTGACGCTTCATCGATTCTTCCTAACCCTTCCCTCTCATTCTAACCCTCCCCTCAATACAGTCTCGGACCCTCCTCTAGCCATCCTACTCTCTCTCTCTCTCGATCTCTCTTTCTCCTCTCCTTTTCTCCTCTTCCTCTTATATTTCATCTCTCTTCTACTCGTTCTTTTCATTCTTCGCTCCTTTTCTTCTGGGTTCCTTCTCTCTCGTCTTCTTCTCTTCGGTCTCTCTACGATCTCTTGTCTCTTTCTCTCTCTCTTCTTTCGCCTCTCCCCCCTCTTCCCTCGTGAATCCCTCTCCCTTCTCTCCTCTCTGTTCTCTTCTTCCCTCACTCTCAGCATATAACTGACAACACGACTACTCCTCGTTAACACACACTCACATCTTGGCCTCCCCTCTCCGCTCTCTCCATCCTCGTCTCCTCTCTGAATCCTCTCCCCCCTCAGTACCTCTCCCTCTCTAAACCTCCCCCAACCCCTCTCACTCTCGTCTCACTTCCTCACTTCTCACTCTCTCTACCTTTCTTAATCTCGTTTTTTCTTCCATCGCTTTCCTCTCTCTCCTCTCCTCTCTCTCGCTCTCCTCTCTCTCTCTCCTACCTCGCTCTCTCTCCTCTTCTCTCTCTCTCTCTTCTCTCTCCTCTCTCCTCCCTCCCTCCTCCTCCTCCCTCCCTCCCTCCCTCCCTCCTCCCTCCCTCCCTCCTCCCTCCCATCCCTCCTCTCTCTCCTCTCTATAACCTCCCCTCTTTCTAAACCTCACCTCCTCACTCTCTCTACCCCGTCTCCCCCCCCCTCTCCTCTCTCCCACCCTCTCCTCCTCTACCCTCCCCCCCCCTCTCCTCTCTCTCTCTCTCTCTCTCTCTCTCTCGTCTCTCTCTCTCTCTCTTCTCTCTCCCTTCTCTCTCTCTCTCTCTCTCTCTCTCTCTCTCCTCTCTCTCTCTCTCATTCTGTCCCTTCTCCTTCTTCTCCCTCCCCCTCCTCCTCACCCTCCCTCCCTCCCTTCCCTCCGCATCCCTCCCTCCTCTCTCTCTCTACCCTCCCTCTCCTCTACCCTCCCCTCTCTTTCTCTATTCCCTCACCTCTCTCTGCTCTACCCACCCTCTGCTCTCTCTCCTCCTCTCTCTCTCTCTCTCCTCTCTCTCTCTCTCTTCTCTCTCTCTCCTCTCCTCTCTCTCTCTCTCTCTCCTTCTCTCTCCTCACCTCTCCCCTCTCCACCTCTCCCCTCTCCCTCTTACCCTCTCCCTCTCCCTCTTCCCTCTCCCTCTCTCTCCTCTTCACCTCTTGTCCTTCTCTCTCTCCCCTCTCCCTCTCTCTCTCTCCTCTCTTTCCCCTCTCTTCTCCCTCTCCCTCTCTCTTCTCTCCTCTCTCTCTCTTCTCTCTCTCCCTCCCTCTTGCCCTCCTCCCTCCCTCCCTCGCTCTCCCTCCCTTCCCCTTTCGCCTCCCCTCCCCTACCCTCGCCCCTTCCTCCCTTCCTTTCTCCCTTTCCCTTCTCCCTTCGTCTCCCTTTCTCCCTCTCTCCTCTCTCTCTCTCTCTCTCTCTCTCTCTCTCTCTCTTCTCTCTCTCCTCTCTCTTCTCTCTCTCTCTCTCTCTCCTCTCTCTGCTCTCTCTCTCTCTCTCTCTCTCTATCTACTCTATTCTATCTATCTCTATCTCTCCCCCCTCCCTCCCTCCCCTCCCTCCCAACCCCCCCATTTCCCTTCTCCCTCTTCCCTCTCCCTCTTTCCCTCTCTCTTCCTCTCCCCGTTCCTTCCCTTCCCCCTCCCCTCCCCATCCCTCCCTTATCCCACCCCCCTCCTCTTCCCCTTCCCTACCCCTCCCCCTCCCTCCCCCCCATCCCTCTCTCCCTCCTCCCCCATCCCTCTCTCCCTCCCTCCCTTCCCTCATATGTAATAGACACACAAATGCAGCTAAGATTTACATTCTTTTCTTTCTTTCCAGAATGCTGTATGTGAAGAAGCCTCAGTACAGTCTTCAGAGAGCCTTGAGGCTTTGCAGAATAAAGTGTCAACACTAACAGTAGCATTGACCACTTTAACATCAGAGAAAAACAGAATTGAAATGTCGTTCCAGAATGATAAGAAGAGGCTTTTATCAGAGAAGGAAAAGGTAAGTTGTATAAATAGGGCCCACTCATGATCTTCTCTTTGAGGTATTTGAGTGATTATCTTCCAAAATGTGAAATGGTTTCGAGTTCACTATTGATACAGTTTGAATAGAATGTGGAATTAGATGAATCCTATCTTAATTGTTCAAAATTTTTTTTTTTTAATGCACTGGAAACCTAATAACAGTTTTCCAGAAAATGTAACCTTGGGGCTTCACCAGTTAGGAATGATAGGCAGACAGCAGCAATCGCTTCGCTTCTTAAAAAAGGAGTAATCAGAAATTCAGAAGTAAATAGATTGATAAGTAAAGATACAAAAAGAAAAAACAGACTGGAAATATTTGACTTCACTAACACAGTATACCAATAAAAAGATCAAGTTTTGGGAAAAATATCAAATGTTTCTGATAATATTTTATGTATTGACTTGTATACTTCTTTCTGTTTTTTACCCTTTCTTTTCTTTTTTTTTTCTTTTCTTTCCTGATTCTTTTTTTCTTGTAGTTGGAACAGCAAATAGCAGAACACTTACAAAAAATGCAGGAAAGTCAAAAGAAGTTTCAATGGAGGAGAAGTTGCAAGATTTACGTAGCCGTTTGATTGTTGCTCAACATGAGAGAGATCAAGATACCCAAACCACTGCCGTGATGTTAAGGTAAGGTGGGCTAGTGCTGTGTATGGTCATGTTAACTAGATGAGTAGTAGTAATAAGTGCATTTTAAAGGAGGTTTCATTATCACTAATCTGCAATATAAGGTACATAGGAAATTTTGTTTCATTACATATTTATTGAGATGGTAATATATCAGTATGTAAAACAGTCATGCCAGCTACTTGAAGTGTGGATTACTGTTTCAGACTGAGCAGGCAGTGGCATTATTACTTGGTGTGAACACCAACAAGGGTCTACTATTGACCCTTTATTTGTATCTGGCTGTACATTGTTGGTCTCCATATCATTATGTACTAATTTTTTTGTATAGTAGCATAAATGTCAACAACCTTCAATTTCACAATTTTAGAGAAAACCATCATGGAGTCATATGGGCTTGCAAAATATATATTGGAAATCCTACTCTGCTATAGGGAGGGGAGTTCACAGTGCCATTTTGAGATTATTATTGGTTTGATACTTTTGGATACCAGGAAAACCCACATTTAGTAAGACAAACAGAACTGCCAACCATATAAAAGTAACAGTATGCTGTTATCCTAACAGTTGGTAGTATTTTATTATGAAATCAGAATCTGACCAAAATGTTTTCAACAACACCCTTATAGTTAGGGTCACAGTAATTGCATAGTTTTCACCTCCAGTAGTAAAATTCTTGACAAAAACCTGTCCAAAGACATGTGGTATCCCAGTATTAAGCCCTTAATAGGATGTTCATAGATCATAGTCAACATTAGATTTTTGGTCAAACCAAATACTCTATCATTTACTTTTTGATGCCTCTCCTCTCAGTTCAAAAAAGATAGGCCAGAATCCATTTTTCTACACACCCAAGGCTTGATTTCTTATTGGAAATATATGAACACTATTCCCTACAATCCTTCTAAAATTAGTTCTAATTATAAAGTGTGCAATTTTTGTGGTAATTAGATAATGATTTTACATGTTTATATCCATATTCAAAGCTAGTATCAGCAAACGTTCTAAATTGCTTTTCAAGACCAAAGAAAATGTATTGTAGAATCTTAGTTTGGAATCCTATTGCTATTCCCTTCTCTTAATTCAAGGCTTCTTTCTATAATTTATTTTACAAATTGTCAGAAATTCAAATTTGGTAATGTATATTTTTGCTGTTGATACAGATGAGTTGTATTTTTAGGGGTATGGCTCTTTCCTTGTGTTATCTTATGCTTCTTTATTTTTATAGGGAATTGGAGAGCAAGTTGGCAGTAGAACGCAGTGCACGAGAAAAAGCAGAGACTCAATTAGAAGATGCAAAGCAAGCAGCACAGCGACCTTCTACGGTTGCAGTCAGTCGTCCCCTTGAACAGTATGAGAAGAAAATAACAGATCTTCAGAATGAATTAGAACAAGTTTGTTAATATTATGTTATTATTTTTTTTGTACACAATGCATGCCTGTGCATGTTTTTTTTTTTTTTTTTTTTTTTTTTTGATGGGTGGATGAGAGAATGAAACCCATTTAGAGAAATAGGACTAGGCATTGACAGTGACCAGAATAATAGTAAACAAGAGAGGCAGCAATGGCAGTACAAATAAACAGTAGCTTATAAAACAAACAGATTACAATTTTTGTAGTGTTACAAGCATCTTGAATACTAAACCCATACCCACAAGCACTGAGATTATTTTGTAATTATATGT